ACTTACATGGAAGAGTTGAGAAGATTCATCTCTAGGACAAATATCACTTTCACCACAAAAAGGACTAACAGTAATTGTATTTTCGTCAAGCGTAGGAAGATTGTCGCTAAAACCACCATCCATGTATCTGATACCACGAAATCGTGGTGGTAAAAGTCCAGAAAAGAGTGGAATAAATGCACTTGCTAATAATGCCTGCAAAAATGAAATTATATAAATGAGTATAAATGATTGTATAAATTATATAATTATAAATTAAATAAGTGTTGGTCATTCACTTACCTGTAACAAGTCTTCTTTAGAAGAGAATTGCGAAACAATTACATTTTTTCCATCATACACTCTTGTCAAAGAGATGTGGAGTTTACCGCTCACTCGAATGTGGGCATCATTAGGAAGGAACTGTAACAAAAAATTGATAATTTGATGTCCTTTCTTTACTTTAGAATGCTTTCAATGATTCATACCTTCTGCAAGCTTTCCAACAATATTTTCTGTACATTGAAAGATGGACTAAACGGACCAAGAGTACGTTGGCGCGCTTCGCGTGCAACACGCAATAAATTACTTGTGATCTCCCCTGTAACAATGCACATTACTATTAGTATTATGATCGTGCAGAAAAGCAATTGAGACAACCTATACGGTTGTTTTTATTTTGTTTTGAACGTGGAATACGAAAATGATAGAGATAACAATACAAGCACAGGTGTCCTTAAAGATTCAGTGGACATAATAAGACGCTATATTTAACGTAATATAATACTGTATTTTCATTTTATTAATTTTCCCATTGTATTAAACTTACTTTTGAATGTAAGCACTATAATTTTATCATATATATTTGCATATAATTGCGTGAAATTTATTATACATACATTTTCATTACACCACGGACATTCGCGAAAAGATGAAACTTTACATGATTATTTATAATTATGAGTATTTGTAAGAAAGTGAACGTCAATAATGTTTTGAAAAATGTCTTATCACCACTCGACATTGATATAAATTACACAAATCTTATCTTTTTTTCATGTACAGGTACTTGTAATTGATATCATATCGAAGAATTTTTGTTATATGATCATAAGAGGCTACATTTTAATGTTCCACAAACATAACATTAAACAATTAAACCGTGGAATTATATAAGGTTATATCATTCGTATAAAAAAATGCATTTCGAAGAAATACACAAAAGTTCTATTGTAAATATATTTAATATTTAAATGTGTACATACTATATGTATGTATGTATGTACATCTTTATCTTTTATCATCCGAGTCAGTATTGCCTTTCTACAAAAACAAACATTCCTTTGTTTGCGTTAGATACAACAGCTTTTATCTATTGATGCTGGTATACCAGAAGCGAACACAAAGAGTTTATTTTACGATTAAAAGACTTCAATCGTGCTCCTATCAAAACAGATATACAGCTGATTTTGTAAACAAAATTTCAGATGAATTTGTCAATTACAACTCCGATGGATGCATTATGGATATGCTTTTTGTCTTTAAAAACAAAATTTATGTTCATTTCTATTGTTTGTCTCGATATCTCGGAATTTTATCATTTCTTTGGATTACCATCTCGAAATTTAATCATTATATCATGATATGTAATTACATACGTTTTTATAAGGATTGTAATTTTAATAGTTTATTGAAAAATTATTATTCAGCCATTGATAATTTTGTTTAATTTTTAAGGAATTTTCTAATTGTACTGCTTCAGTTTACCGTTTCTTTATAGTTACAACGAAACTATCTCATGTTTCCAATATACCACAAAAGGGACACTTATTTTCATTAACGAATGGACAACTTCTAATTTTAACTACTAGCAAAGCCAGAGCATGAGCACCTTTCACTTTTCCAACGTACAAAACCTGTTCGGCAGATAAATTTACTTATAAGAATAGTAATTATCGTGTCATTAACGAGCCATTTCGAACGATCCGTTATTTCGAAAATTCCGAGGGCTACTCGACTATTTTGATACATATTTAAACATAATATAATTTTAATCATCTTACAAATAAATGTCCAAAATAATTCAAAGTAATCTTTAATTTATCGTTTTTAATTTGGGAATTGATACGGTATCCTGGCAATACGAAAATAAAGATTAGTCAACATTTGATAGGATTAAGAAGTGGCCTTGCATCATTTCGACAAATAATTGTTTATGCTTAGAATACACTTGAAATTGTTTTTTGTGTATTTACATATGCTGGTGTTTTTCTTAAAGTCTTGGAAAATATTTGTCGTGCATTTTTTTTTATACGCTGTTTTCAAGTGTGCAGTAAATAATATTTGTCCGATAAATGAGGACATTTCCTTTCTATATATATACATACATATGTATGTACATAGGTTAAACATTCGCGTATGTGACGACGCAGTTTACTGCACGCTTTCGACCACGTTTTTAAGTGCGTTTTTATGATCAAATATTAATTATGAAAATATGTGCGTCATAGATTATATAAAAGATTACTAGATGTAACTGTACATTAATCATTGTAACTATTATCAGTTTCCTTATTCCAATCGTGTGGTATTCAACTAGGCCATACATGTACATACATATATGAATATGGATAAATTATCATGTACGCAATAGAGCAGCTGATGCACAATATCATAATTGATTGTCATTTTTAGAACCGTACTTACCCAATATTTTCTAATCATGTTTCCTTAGTTACATGAAATATACATAGTTTTGGCACAAATAAGTTCAAAAACTATACGAATAATTAATTTTGGCAAAAGATTTAGCATTCATTTTATATAATTAAATTATTAAATCTATTAACAATAAATCATGAATGTTTCATGCACATATTAATTTCTTCATAATCTTATCAAGAATTCTTTTTACATTAAAAATTATCATAAAATGTTTCTTATACAAGTTTATTTTACAACTATCTCTTAACAACCAGTTTCATACAGTTAACAAGCAAAAAATTGAAGACAGTTAGTATGATTTATTATTAAACCAATCAACATTTTTCTATCACACAACTGGATAAGCTGTTGTAATAAAAATATGATATACAATACATGGTTACTCATTCCAATAAGTCTTTTGTAATTGCTTGCTTTGTGCTATATATTTATTGCCTGCCTTACTCACAAAGAAAAACATTTGATAAGTGTTATTACTACTTCCAATTTGATTATTCTAAGCCTGACCTACTTATAAGATTTATTTACACAATGACTAACTCTGCAGACCTACTATTTGTAGTTTCTGTAAAACTAATAGTTGCAATATGTTGATGCAATGCACTATATTGCTATAATTTGCTTTTTACCATGCATAAGCTACTGTAATCATTAGTTTTTCACAATTTGTTTTCATTACTATTGTTTCATAGTATATGTATACTTCTAGCCTTCTTTATCTTCTAGCTTGATGTATATTTATTATTTACAGACTTATGTATAGGAAACCGTTTAATTGGACTCTGTAATACATAAATAATAAGATACATTAAAACTTTAAGTGTTATAGATTGAATATTATCGGTAAATGTTATACATTTGTGTAATGAAATTGACAGTAACGTTATATCTGCTATGATAATATAGTACATAGTATAGTACCGCTGTCGCTGCTTTCGTAAGCTAAATTATAATATCGTATCAATTGATACCAAAAAGAAACAAATAAAGATATTTGCAGTTTAATAACAGAGCGACACCGTTGGTACACCGAAACAATTTGTTCAACATGCGAGAAATGGTTACAAGACGCGAGATGAGTAGTATCAAAAGTCGTAAATTGAACCGCAACATTGAAAAAAACTAATTATTTAAGATACTATACATCTGTCAGATATATAAACAAAGGAGTTCACTCACCGAGGGGCAAGTCACAAAGAAGACAACAGGCAGCGATAGCACCAACCGATGCACCACTAATCTTATCCAAGAGCAAGTGTGGAGCGTATTTCTTGAAGCACACTGCCACACCAACGTGGTAAATACCAAGAAAACCGCAACCAGCGAACGATAAATTCATTTCGGAATTCTCTTAAGCGCTGTACCGGTCACCGTTGCTTTGTTTATGTTGATTATCAAAGCTAATTGTACAAATAATCAAAAAGTACTGATCTCCTATCTACGGCACTACGAACGTCACTTGCAAAGGAAGCGCTATCAACGACGTATTACGCACGGCGTCCAACTTGGAACTATCAGTAGTCCTTTCCGACCAACAACAGTCTTCCCAAACTCTGAAGACTAATCTCAAGTATGATTGAAAAAAATACATATTACAAGCAGCCGGAGTGATAGTACAGGTTTTGATGACGTACGTTTGTAAATACATACTGGTTCTTTCATTGGCTAGGAATGATGGTGTGGTGATAGGCTCCGCCCACTTTAACGTTCTCAAACTCATTCGTTGTGTAATATACCAATATGAAGGACGGTGCATACAGTGTATTGTATCGTGGACAAGAAAAGTCAAAGCTCAGATTACGAAGAAATAACTTATTTCAAATATCATTAGGTGCATTCAGAAAAGTTGCCGCTCAGTGAGCAGGTTTTAATACTAATGGCGCCATCGGTAGCGAAACGCCCAAGTTTGTAGTAAAAATAGTTTTCACTTTAGCCGCTAGGTGATGCCACCGACATATTTATTATTAAATTATTTTTTGTTTATCATAATTGCATATTAAATACGATTCTACGCTTTATAACACTCAAACTTATCATTTTTATGAATAGTTATTTAATGCAACCAATTAGAAAATTATGTGTGAATTGCTAAAACAAAAAACCAATGACCATGTATCTATACAGGGTGTCCCAGAAGTCGGGGAGGAGCCGGAAATGGGGGGTAGCTGAGACGATTTTGAACAACGATTTCCTTTGCAAAAATGTCGAATAGGTCTTCAAAATCGTCTCAGCTAACCCCCATTTCCGGCTCCTCCCCGACTTTTGGGACACCCTGTATATGCCTGTATATATAATAAATTCAAAAACACAATCAGTAGGAGGACACATTTGAGATCATTGGTCATCGATCCAAAATCTGTTTAGGATTGGTCGATTTTATAAATGACGGTTGTAGTGTAGTATTTTTTTGTTTTTTAGGTAATTCGTATTATTTGTAATAATCTTATGTTTCGTATTACAGATTATTGATTTTGCAAATGTAGTATTTATGACGTGTTTGTTTCACAAATGATTAATTGCTTGCTAATTTAAGAATCGACCTTGAATATAACCATTTACTGTACACATTTTCCATTTTTACAAAAATCAACATGTTTTGAAACCTTCAATGAATTTTATTTCATATAATTTTGTAAATAGTAATATATTCGGATGGTTTAAATCTGAATGATAATGTTTAGATAAAATATCCCCTTCTTGAAAATAAACAATTATTATTTCTTCAATATAAACAAGTTCATTTATATACATATATACATATATATATATATATATATATATATATATATATATATATAGATTTTGAAGGAAATGTGAATAGTATACGTAGAATTTTTGTACAAAAATTTGGAATATTATACGTTAGATTTTAAATATTACTTGGAAGGCGCGCAATTTTACGTCTTTTGACATTTTACTGTCTGACACATAACCAATAAATGTTTATACTGTTCAATACTGTTCTAGACGTAATTTAAAATAACACGAACGCATGATGAGTGAAGACGAACAAAATCAACAAACGATGTATGTGACTTGTGGGAATTCCAATGTGCCAAATGAAACAATTTTTCATGCTGTGTATATACCTGAAGAAAATATTGACAGTTCAACAGAAAACTATGCAAAAGGTAAAAGTATAGAAGTAAATATTTTGTGTTCTATATTATACATATTGTACGTACTTATTTCAAGTTTTAATGTTGTATATTTGTAAACCACAGAAAATAGAGTCTATCAAGATAAAGTGGAAGCATTAAAAGTAATCAAGGAGTTTAAAACAGGCAGATTGAAATCATTTAAGAAACGTTCAGAAGCCGAAGAATATGCTAAGACTGGTTTAGAGAAAACAAATTACATTAGTAATACCTCGATATCTACAACAGTACCTGTAGCAGAAGAGAAATCAAGTAATTTTAAAGGGCCACGGTCGCAAGAACTTGTATCCTTTAGAAATTTAATTAAAGATGGAGATACACACGATGTAAAAACTAAAGTGTGGAGTAATCCACGATATTTAATTGGTAGTGGAGATACACCTGCAATTTTGCAAGTAAGATATAACATTTGTGATGAACTGTATAAGTATTTAATAATAAGTATTTTATGTTTGTAAAATAATTACTATAAAAGGTGCTTGCTTATTTATTACAGGAAGGGTGTCGTTACAATGCATTGCATATCGCGGTCAGAGCAAACAGAGCAGATATGTGTGAGTTAATATTAAATACTGTTGGAAATGCGGAATTTATAAAATTACTTTACGGTGATGAATGCAAGATTTATGTGGATCGTGCACAGATTATGTTAGACTTATATTTAAATACACCTGATAAAGGACTGAACGAAACACCATTACACTTTGCAGTTAAATTTGGTTTAAAAGATGTAGTTCGAGTTCTTGTTTCGTATCCATGCTGCATAAAAACATTGCCAAACAAATATAAACAGCTACCAATAGATGTAGGTGATAAAGTATTCACAGATATAATTCAGAGAATACTATTGTGTACTACGCTAAATATTTCTAAGTACATGCAATTAATTTACTTCTTTTTATTACCTTTTTTATTAATTTGTTTATGTTCTTGTGATAAATATTTCTTTTATACAAGAGTATTATTTAACTCACATATTTGCTAATATTACAGATAATATGTAGTAGAACCAATCAAGATGAAGAGTTAAAAAAAGAAATAAGTTTGTTACTGGAAGATCAGTATTATGTACCTGTATTAAGATCGGATGATAGCACATTGCAACCTCTTATTGGAGAACCTTTTTCTCCAACTAGTCCATTGGTATGTTAAAGTTTTTTAATTCGGTTTTTCTGGAATTTAATATATTGTATTTTTGCAGAGTTTACAGACAGATCCAGTAAGTCCATGTCTAGAAGTACGCGCATTCGCTGGACCAATGACAAAATCTCGAGCATTGGAATTTAGAAAAAAATGGAAAACACCTCCACGTCTTCGTGGTACCCCTATCAAAAGAATTACAGATGAACAATTGAACAAGACAGAGAGTCCCATTAATAATTTATCGTTAAGATTACAAGATATAGATAAAGGCCTTGAACGAGTGGGAAGGTATTTGTAATTATTTATTTTTTGTGAAATGTAAGCATTATTGATTCAAATTATTCTTTTTGAATTAAATAAAAATTGAAGTTTAGTATATCATTTTCAGAGATTTGGCAGAAGAATACCAAGTGTCATGGAAAGAATATTGGCCATTTTTAAACGATTTTGCAGATTTTCGTTCTATGGAAGGTTTAATGAAACTAGAAAAGTACTTGGAAAATAAATTCCGTGACCAATTACTTTCTTACAGTCAGGTACGATAAATTTGACTAATCAGCTTTTACTTCGTTACCATCATACTTTTCATGTAATTTGTTTGCAGGACTTAAATGTTAACAAAATAAATTCAAATTCAGATATGAAATCGAATTCAGTCAATGAAATAGATTACTTATGTAATAAATTACAATTATGCTCGTTACATAGTACAGATAATCAAGATGAAAATAATACAGGTAGGTATAGAAAAGTTTTTTGTTGTATTAAAATTTGCATAAAATAACATTACTTTCTTCTTTTAGATGAGCTAGAATTTTTTACACCACCATCGTCGCCTAAGTTAATAGTCGACAGTTCCGATGATGAAATGGAAACTGCAGAGGAAGGTCCTGCAACGTTTCTTGAAGGGTAAGATAGACCATATAGTTAAATCATTTTTTAATAAAATCATTATGTTTACCGAAATACATTTTGGTTATATATATATGTATGTAACATTTTGTTATAGTTCTGTAGCAACAAAGCTGGATTATGCTGTTTATAATGCAGTACCATCAGTTATGTCTACTACATACCCAAACATTTATCGTTGGCAACACGACATGCAGCTTGTTATGAAACGTGATTTATCTAGGTACTAATGCCTTTCTTTTTCCATAATAATATAATAAAAATTTTGTTACTTTTCTATTACAAATTATTACATTTATGATACAAATAATAAAATTTAATATTTTATCATTTCCAGATCTAACAATATAAGGCTAATTAGAAGAAAATTGATTTTAAGCTCGTAGATATGTTAATCATCAAGGCATTGAACAGTGTAAAAAAATAAAACTGTATAAACTTTTTATATTACTCACAATAATTCTTATCTGATAGGTAGTATACTTAAAAACTTGTTAAGTATACTAAAAAAAAAAAAAATATATATATATATATATTTTCAGAACATTTTTATATGTAATTAAAATAATCTATAAAAGCATACACTTCATACACGTTTTATAAATTACTGCTTACATTTGAATTCATGCATGTAAGTCTACAACTATTACGTTTCTATTTATTCTCAACAGATTAATAAATATATTACATAATTTACTTTTAAATTTATATATTTACGCAGAAACTTGCTATTAATAATCTTTATTCACAATAATATTACATTTTTTCTTAACAGATCATTTATGATCTTTTTTTCAATGATATCATTGTAACCTGTGTACAGTGTTCTTTTATTTAATACGTTTTATATTCCATATATCTATATTCCATACCAACTTATTAAATTAATCAAAGACTGACTGGAGCTGGGGGAGTTTGTTTCAGTTGTAAGATAATTGAACGCATTCGGGAAACGTCTTTAGATGTGCGCGAAGATTTTGGATTAAAGTCGCAAAGCTTCGCGATACGTTCCCATTCGGTTCCGGGTTCCACTTCGTCAGCTTCGGCAACGAATTGTTTCTCTGCGTTCCTATAGATAAAAAACATTAAATTCAATACGTTGCAGATATATGCAACTTTGAATGTATGTGATAGTTGTAAATTGTATGCATTAATGTCATTGCAGTGTATGTACTCGACAATTCTGTATTTGTTTCTTAGACAGAAGATATGTAGCTACAGAAAATCTAGAAGTTTTTAAAACAATTTCTATTTATGTAACAGAACTAATAAACATATTTTTACACTAATTACTTTTACCTGCTACCAAATAATGAAGTGTTCTACATGACAAAGGAAGTTTAATTTAAGTGATACAGTAAACTATATTCATATTTGTTAAGTATTTTAATACACTGATATTGTAATTTCTAATACATTGTCGAACTTCTTTTGTATGGCATTACAATATACATGTGAATTTATAAACAAAATATGGAGCTCACATACAATATGATTAGAAACATAGAAGTATAATTGCATCAAGCATAAAGTATGTCTATAAGTAATTACTACAAAGCAGTTGACATATAAGAAAATGACTGAAGTTTTTGACATTAACAGCAATTGGCATTGCAAATTTGATAAGCAAGCTATATAGTACACGGCATTGCAATGCAATTATACATGCAAAAAAAATATAGTGTAACTTACTTGGCTGATTCCCTAAGAAGCAGAATGAAAATAATATAATTGCATGTAGTACTTGTCTTAAATTAATTAAATAAAATATTTATAATTTGATATGGAATAAAACTTTTAACTGCATCTATACATGTGCAATTAAAAGTTGTTATATTAGTAAAAAAATATGCCGCGTATATTGCGCAAAACAAAATTTAATTAAAGTGGCAATTGTAAATATTACCTGTTGGTAGTTTTTGTTTTACTAATAGCTTCTGCATGATGTTTATACCATTCTTCCAATTCTTTTCTTGCAGCCTCTCGCCATTCTTCTTTCTTTTTTTCCTCTTCTGCATCTAATAACATCACATGAAAAGAATTATTTAAACTATAAGGATTAGCACAGTATCGTTACAAGAGTTATAAGTAATACCTTTCTCTTCTAACCTAGCCTTTTGTTCTTCTCTCCATTTTCGTATTTTCTCAGGTTCCTCTTTTACAGGAGGAGGCTTAGTTAAAACTTCTAAAAATTATTATTTTTAAGAACTATTACCACTACTTTATAATAAATACATAATGATTCTTTAGAGGTAATGTAACATAACATGGTCTACCTGTTGCTGGTGGTGTTTGTGATTCATTAGGCTGTCCAACTGCATCTATTATTTCGAAACTACCTTCAGCATCACCACCTGGCCCAACTTTTAAATTTCCAAAATTTTTTGATAAATGTTTTATTAGAGATCAATTAAAATGTAATTTGTATGCATATGATTTATTATTTGATGTAACTTAATAGATAAATAATAACTACCTAGCATATAAGAAAAATTACATTTCACTTGTTGCTTACATATTCTTTTTAACGTACATATTGAAAAATGTATAATTCATTAGAATAATATTAATTACCCTCTGTATTAGATCCTGTTGTAGGAGCAGACATAGAAACTGGTGGGATTTCATCTTCTAACCCTGCCAATTGATCCTGTTCTCTTGCTACAAATTCTGCCACAGGATCTACTTCTGGCTCAATGACAAAGTTGTCACCAAATGCATCCATATTGTCTAACAAGAATATTAATTAAATTGATAAACTTTAGGGCAAATTAATCATTTATTGCGATTTAATTTTCGGGTAATTGATTTAAAAAAATTAAATTGTGCTATCATAATAATATAACTTTTTTAAAATTTAAATTGTAGTACTACTATTTTAGACATTCGATACTTCTATTTTCTTTAATCCTAATGTAGCGTTAATTCCTCGAATAGTAGTAACGTATTTCTTCGGATCGTCTAGGTTATACTTAATTATAAAAGATATCTTTAAATATATAAATAGTGTAAGTAAAGGTAACCTAAAAGGATCCGTTTATTAATTTAAGTCATAAACAATATTTATACTAATAATGTACGAAAAGCAAACTAATTTTATTTGATCGAAACTGATTGTTTAAAATGACAAAGTGGGAGGGTGGGTCGTACCTTTCTAATATTGTGGAATGTGTAAATTGATATCTTGGGATACACGGATACACCCCCAACTGTCGTTTCTTTAGATTTCTACTAAATATCAACGCGAATTGTCAACGTCAATACTAGTTGGCTTATAAAGCACACATGCGCACAATTAAATCAGTACTACCAACTCTTTGTAATCATTGCAATAGTTGTACATACGCGAAAAAAGCAATAAAAAGCAGGTGACAATATATGCAAGCAAATACGTATTACATATTAAACTCGTCTAAAAGATTTAATTCAACCTTGGAACGTGTTTTTTATTTTCTACTTGTTACTATATTAAAAAAATGTATAAGTTATATTTTATTTACAATTGTATAATTATTTGTAACTTTGTTTATTGTTTGGAAACTTTAGGTAGGGATATAAGGACAAAATTCAAAATAATATTAAATATTAAACTTCTAACTATATGCATAACAATAAACAGGCAAAATAAATTTATGTAAATTTATCTCCTTATATAAGCATTATATTTGATGGATATACATACTATACCAAACATTAAATATTTTGATTTGTATTAGTATGTCTTCAGAGACCATGCATACAGTGTTATGTGCTTTTTTAAAACAAATATTTAAAAAATAACTGTAATAGAAATGAAAACCCGGAATACATATATGCATGCAATGTGATACAAGTTCCACAGAAAAAAGCTTATCTAAATGATTATAAATGGAGAGCTACTTTAGATAGTATGTCCTACGAAATATCTGTACAATACATTACACATGAACAAATGAAACCATTACACCTTAATTCAGAAAAGCTGTAGCTTTTATATGATACTTTTAATATTGTGAATAAATAACTGTACAAGAATTGTAAATATAGACAAATGTTGCAATCATTTTAACACATTGGAGTGTTTCCATCATAATAAGGTGTATTTTCGTACAATTTCAATAATAAATACAGTTATTTCTCTTAGAATTCCTATTATTATGACAGATCACTGGCAACAAAATTTAGGCGCATGTGTAAAGCAAATGTTCTGTTTAACAATCGTCTAAAAAATACGTATAAAAATACAATTCCTAAATAACACAATTTAGAGCTTCATTCGTTAATATAATGACGTAGCTCTAAAACAGTTATTAAAATTTACCTACAACCTATAATATAGGTGGTGGTGAAATGTGAAGAGTAAAGTCAATATGTTTGCCCTGGCAAAGCATAATGACTAAACATACTAATAGAAATAACTCGTACATTTCATTTGTGAAACAATAGGTCAGTCTTGCCTTAATCCCCTCCTTATTTGTCTAAACAGGGATTTGTAGTGGGAGGTTCGTTATTTTGAAATATGTATAAATTTATAGATTCTTCTATTTTTTCTGAATGCCTGTTAAATACTAAGCTTCTTCTTCATCTTCAGAGGTCAGTGTTACGTGATCGATACGTCGTGGTAATAACAATGCTACATGTCCATATCTAAACATAAATGTCCAATGCTCGGTTAAAGTCATAAAAAAAATCTACTAATTCAATTGTTGAACTTTTATACTTACTTGTTACTTTTATATTTGTCTTGAATGGCTTGTTGTTGGATATTCAACGCGTTACAGAAAGTTTTATTTAGGCAAATAATGCATTCTTTAAGATCCTTAAGACGATATCCAGTTGAGAGTTCTAATTCGTGCGGCCACATCTCTTCTAATAATGTGTGTCGTGCAAGTGCTACCGCGGATGCAGCCAAATGACTAGGCAAGAATTGTAGATATGGATCCCCTTCGAGCATTGATAATTCGCACAAGTACTGTATAATTGTAAACGAATATTAAAGTGTTAGAATATGTCGATATCGAAAAACAATAAAAATTTATTTGCTTACCATTGCTAAGAATTTGATCTTTTCTGGAAGATTATTACTAATACAATATTCCATAAGAAAAACAAGCGGTGTTGGAACGGTTAGATCCAAAGACAAAACCCTCAATATTAAATGTTCCATACGAAGTACCTGTTTTTTCGTATATGTGTCATCCGTGATATAAACAAATTCTCCAACATCTGGTGGATAAATTTCTTCGTATTTTCTGCAAAATTAATACAAATAGTCCAATGCATGATTCTCCTGATTAGTAAAATTTAAATTATCGATTTAACCATTGTATTTTAAATTGTATATCGACACAGATTAAAAAACTTACGCGGCGATGAACATAGCAGCAGTACCAACAAGTTGTAATTTTGCTCTCACAACACTCATATACGATAGAAAGCGATCTATATAAGAAACAGCTAAATAGAGTGTTTCGGTTTGCAACCGATATTCTTCTGCAACTTCCACGAGCCAGTCCACTAATATCGACCTCATTGAATATGTTATATCAGGCTGCTTTTTCATGTATCCTGGTTTTGGTCTATGTTGGGTCTAAAAAAAATTATTCCTTAAGCAACAAACTAACAAATTTCATTACCAATGAAAGATTGATACATACCTCTGCTGCACGTAAATAATTATATATATCAGCCCTATATTCATCCACATCGAAAAAACTCATTCTCATTTCCTTAATAGACTCTCTCCTTCTTTCCAGTTCTTTTTTCGAAGAAGAATAAGGAATAGATTTTTCCAAAGACATTGGACTGTCATGTGAAAAGATGAGTTCATTTTGTTTCTTTTGATTTATGTCTTGAATAGCATTACAAAATGTTGATAAATTAGAGATGTTTATAGAATTTACTTCTAACCTTGGCTTTTCTCTTTCAGATTTAACATCGTGTTTTTCATTAATTTCTTTTTTGTCCTTAATATCCCTAAGTGCCACAGAAGTTTCTTCTTCTAACTTATCTTCATATATTTTAAATATAACTTCCTCTTTCTTTTCTTCGTAAATTTTAAATGGCTCAAATTGTGTGGGTATAACTGCTTTTGTTTTAGGATACTTATCATCTTTATAAATTTCCTATGAAATGGAGCAAAAGGAATAGAATTGTATCGTTAACATGTCATACAAATGTTCTTTTACTTTTCTTCTTTTACGAGATAATGAAAGGAGTATACAGTGGAGAGCATTCTATGTATGATTTTTGTAGTAATTTCCTACATTTACTAAGTAATAAATGTAGGAAATGTCGATTTTCCGAGGAAAAAAAATGCGGGAGAAAGATGCAAAGAAATATGTTATACGTACTGTTTTTGGGTTGCGAGTACAATTATTATGAAGGACGCCTAGAACTGCACGTTTCGTTGGCTGTAGTGTCTGACTTTGAAGGGGCACAGTAATATTGTCTTTGCCTCGACGTATATCGACGATACGATTTTCTTGATCCTCGTGTACTCGAATCGTGGCCATTATTTATATATCAATTTCCTGCCAACTACGTATATATAATTCGAGTGTTCTTTCTTTCTAACTTATTATTTCTTTTTTTAGACACTACACATGCCCTCTTCTCGTTGCAACGAAATGTATTTACCGTCCATACATGGTAGAGAAAATTTCGAAGCTCCAAGCAACCCAACAAACTTCAGTTGCCGTTTGATTTCAAACAAACGTAACTTCAACAGCTGGCGGTACGTTAAAAGCGTTGCTCGAATGGACCAATGAAAGAATCACGTCTTTCTTAAATCGCAAGAACACCAATCAGGTGACTGACATATAATTTGTGTTCCTAAAAGAATCCATGACTTTAGGCGGGTACACAATGCAGACGATAAACGATGTTATCCTAAATATAGATTATCATTATACTATTAGGCTGCACTTTACTTTGATGGATCTAACATTTTTAAACTTAAAAAGTAAAGTTTAACCTATTATTATTCTTTATTATTATTTGTAATTTTTATATTCTCTAAAATTAAAATTATTTTGTATATCTTTTTTCATTATAGAGTGTGTCTTACGTAATGTGTTTTATGTAGAAAACGATTTCTTAGAAACAGTCAATAAGTAACATTATTATCATGTAGATACTAAAATTATGCATTTATAAATGTTCACCAGCTTTTATACTGTGATGTAATTTGAAAACATAAAAATTGTGTTCGTAAAAGACACCTTATCTTACAGGACCTGGACACGTCATATCGAAATTTTAAGGCGGTACGACAGTTTTGAAGTTTTGTAGTTCGTAGTTCGTGGCTGGCTGTCTGTGAGGTTTCTCGGTTTCAGATAAGTGATCGCTTGTACATTTGTCTCCGGGTAGAAAGTTTATTTGTACTCGAAATCGTAATGTTTTTACGATATCTACGACAACAGTCAGTATCGGAGTCTACTTTTCAATAAGAGTTTGTTACGATAGAAGTGATACGTGTGAAACGTCTGTGGATAATTACATATTTCACGCATAAACGTGTGCGAAGTTAGTTTTAACCTCCCAAGAAAGAGTGAAGCGGCACATCGAACGTTGGTTAATTAAAGAAGCAAAAGTGATTTAATAAGGTCTACAAGCATGAGTCCATTGAATCGAGGACCTTTGCTAGGGCCTAGAGTTCCACCAGCTGGTATAAGGCCACCTCCACCCCCAAGATTTGGCGGCAGACTTCCTGGTTTACCACCAAGAATGCCATTGCTTCCTATGAATCCAGTTTTTGGTCCGATGCGACAAAGATTACCACCTCCACCGCGTCCAGGTGGTGTAAGCCGTCCTAGTGGACCAATGCCACTGTTTGGTCCAAGAGTTAGAGGTATGGCTCCAATGGTTCCACCAATGGGTTTACGAGGTGCAGGACCTCAAGGACCTCCGATAAGACCATGGTCCAGAAGAGGATTACCACCTCAAATTTTACCCCACATGAGACCACGTTTCTCTGTTGGAAATGGCAATGTTAAAGGCAAATTGAATAACATGAAAAAAGTGAGCAAACTCGAAGTAAGCATAAAACTACATTGCTATTAATTTTTTAATTATTTAGTTGAAGTGTAGGAGTGTATCAGAAATCAACCAAATTAATTTATTTGTAAAATAGATATAAAAAGAATATATGCTGTTAAGAAAAATGAGTTTCTATAATTTTAATGAAAACACGTTATGATTATTTAGGAGTTAGAACTAAAGAAACCATGGATGACTGATGAAATTCGCAGTGAAATACAAAAGAAAAATAAGTTTTATGCAAAGGCAAAGAAAAACAAAGATGCAAAAGAGTGGGAAGAGTTTAAGGATTT